AATAATTTTTTTTTTAAAAAGCTAAGATTTTTTTTTTTTAAGATTTTATTTATTTTATTTGACAGAGATCACAAGCAGGCAGAGAGGCAGGCAGAGAGAGAGAGAGGAGGAAGCAGGCTCCCTGCCGAGCAGAGAGCCCGATGTGGGGCTCGATCCCAGGACCCTGGGATCATGACCTGAGCCGAAGGCAGAGGCTTTAACCCACTGAGCCACCCAGGTGCCCCGCTAAGATTTTTTTCTTAACAAACTTTTTTTTTTTTTAAAGGGAGGTTTCTTTCTTTTTTCTTTTTTTTTTTTTTTAAGATTTTATTTGACAGAGGGAGAGAGACAGCGAGGGAAAGAACACAAGCAGGGGAATGGGAGAGGGAGAAGCAGGCTTCCTGCCAATCAGGGACCCCGATGTGGGGCTCCATTCCCAGGACCATGGGATCATGACCTGAGCCAAAGGTAGCAGAGGCTGAACGACTGAGCCACCCAGGCGCTCTCAACTAACTTTTTAATGTTATGTTAAATTTCATGGGAAGCATTGTCAAATAAGTGATGCTAAACTTTAAGTTATTAATATAAATATTCCAGAAATTATAGGAAGTTCATGGGGATCTGATGTACTGACACAGCGTTATCTGTCATGATCCCAGCTATGGTCTTAAAATATGGTATATCGGAGAAAGAATCGAATTTTCTTGTCAATTGCATTATAACGACTTCTCATCCGAGCTTTGACAATTGCCAATTTTTAGGCCTTTAGTCATTTACAGAAGTTACTGTTTTATTCTGATGCTTTTGCAAAAAATGTTCCCGCAAAAATGCTTTATTTTTGAGAAGATTCATGAAAAAGACCCCTTCTCCCCACAAGTACTCTGTAGAATACAGGTTTCTGATGACTTCAAGATCATAACACAGAACTGTGTAAGAATTTCTAAAACTTTCATGGAAAAGTGATGAATTCCTCAAACTAACAAAAGATCGAGATCAACAAGGATTACAGGAGACCAAATAAATTAATGAAGATGGTTAGAATTTTTCTGACTTCATTTCAAATGTTGCTGGTTCTTTAATGTTTTGTTTGCAGATTTATTTATTTATTTATTTTTAAAGATCTTATTTATTTATTTGACAGAGATCACAAGTAGGTAGAAAGGCAGGCAGAGAGAGGAAGGGAAGCAGGCTCCCTGCTGAGCAGAGAGCCCCATGCGGGGCTCGATCCCAGGACCCTGGGACCACGACCCAAGCAGAAGGCAGAGGCTTTAACCCACTGAGCCACCCAGGCGTCCCTGTTTGCAGATTTATTTTTTATTTTATTTTTTAAGATTTTATTTATTTATTTGAGAGAGAGACAGTGAGAAAGAACATGAGTGAGGAGAAGGTCAGAGAGAGAAGCAGACTCCACGCGGAGCCGGGAGCCCGATGCGGGACTCGATCCTGGAACTCCAGGATCATGGCCTGAGCTGAAGGCAGCCGTCCAACCAACTGAGCCACCCAGGCGTCCCCCTGTTTGCAGATTTAAAAGGAACCGAAAGAACATGCTCAATCACTTTTCCTGCTTACTTACATAAATAATCAGGCCAAGTTTATTAAAAGTCAACTTAATTTGCAAAACAAATTAGTCTTGCCATGGTTGTCTTTGATGGAAATGGAAATGATTATGGAGAGAAATTTATGTTTCAGTAACACACCCCTGTGGATATTAGATTCTAAGGCTGTTGATCATCTCTGAGTTTATTTTCTACTTGTAAACTGGCCTGGATCTTGAGCTCTACCTTCCTCCAATATCTGGCTAAAACTCTCCAGCCCAGCATTATCAATTTTCTCCCACTATTTTCACTTGGAATCACTACAAAACTAAACCTGCTCCCCCCGCCCACAAGCCATGCAAGCTGAAACTGGACAGCTTGAAATAAACATCAAAGAAATCACAGCAGCGCACTGCGGAGGATGTTTGTGCCTGCTTGTACGCGGCCACTTGGAAAGATACCGGGGACCTTCACGCTGCAAACAGGAAAAATCTGTCTGATTGTCCGACTGTCCTGCTTGCACTCTATGTAAAGATACTTCGAAACCGACTTTTTGAAATCTTCTCAACTGACGGCTCTCCAAACTCAGAAAACGGAATTTCTAATGTGCTTGAGCTATTAGTCTTTGGTTTTCTTTTGTTTCCGTAGGTACACTGCTCATTAAATTACTTGATGGCTCACACCATATAGATGTTCTAATTCAGAGGGAAGCCCACGTGCATTGGCATCTCCTGAAATACATTTTTTCAATTCATCCCGCCCCGGGTCATCATGAGGATATGTGCTTGCTGATAAATCATGTTATGCTTATGAACATAACTTAAAAATATTTCTTTTGTAGATTGACTTAGTAAAGGAAAACCTGAATCTCATTACAACGCATTGGATTTAGTGGGTTGGTTAAACGATGGCTCCTGGGTGTCTCTGCTCCAGGAAGTCTTCAATGTTTGGCTGTTGTCTTTCCTACAATCATCCTATTGACCTTTCTAGGGCATTGTATATTCTGGAAGCTTTAAATGCTTGTTGGCTGCTAATCACACGCAGACAACTGGATGAAATCAACAATAACCACATGAATGATGAAGTGGATGCGTACTTGGCTCTCTAGCCTGATGACTCAGCTAATGGAAACCGCAAACCTGGGATCTTCCTGCCTGACCCCACCAATGGTGGTAACCGGGAATCAGGCTCCAATGGCTGGTCCTACTCTGAGTACGACCCAAAGGGGGGGGGGGGGTCATTGTTAAATTTAGAAACAAAGGAAGACCAATCTTGAAGGGTTCCTGAGCACACAGAACCAGTTTGGTCATGCAGGTGAAGCTTAATTTGGCTTATCCTGCAAGCCTAATTGAACCTGGTCGTTTCTTCCTTGTGTCTCTGAAAATGATAAAACTTGAGCTGCTTCCGAAAGTTGATATGACTGGTAACTACTGAAAATTACAATATTGTAACGAATCACTGGGAAGAATAAATAGTCACAGCTTTGTTGCGGGAGAAGCTGCGTTGTTACAAGGCACCCGCGAGCTTTTCCTGAACCACTGGGCCTTTCCTGAACCACTTGTTTGCTGTAATGTTCTTTACACTTGAGCAATCAATCCCCTGCAAAAGAGAAGGCGAAAGTAACCTACTGGCAACAAAATCGCCCCACGGTGAGGAAGGTGCCTGTACTTGAATCATTTCTGCCCAGCCGGAACCCCGAGCAAGTCATTTTGGGCCGCAGGAGGCCACCTTACAGCCCACTCCCCCCTACCCTCTCACCCTCCCCCTCCCCCTCTCCCCCGTCTGGTGAGTCCAGATTCTGCCGCAGCCGCCGGTGCAGCCCCGCCTCTCCGGGCAGGGCGTCCCGAGTCGCGGCCGCTGGGTTCCCTCTGGCCGGGAACGCACCGCGTGTAGGAGGCGAACGTGATCGGAAGGGCAGGCCTCCAGAGCCGAGAGGTGACCCAGCTGGCTGTGCGGGACTGAGTGGCTGGGCCCAGCACGTGACCGCGTAGCCTGGCTCCGCGGGGGGTGGGGGTGCCCGGGCGCCGGAGGCTGAAATCGACATTTGCCTGGGGCAGGAAAGTGAGCGGGTCAGATTCCGTCCCCCTCAGACCCTCCACCCACGGGAGCGGGGGATTGCCGTAGCGTTTTAACTTTGCATGTCAGGAACCAGAAAGTAAAAGGTAAGTTACTTATCACCTAGAAAAACAAGCTGGAGAGGAGTGACCTAGAAAACCACACGGCCGGCCACATTGTTGGGTTTTAAAACCCGGTGCAGAAAATAATAGATCGATGTGAAGGGCAAGGGCCCTTATTTATGTCCCAAATTAGAGGCTGACCTTCTGCACGGAGATTTGGTTAATCTGGAAGGAGTGGTGGCAAAAGGGCCCAGGTTAAATATAGAAGGACACCAAAGCGGCTGGAATAAATAGCAAGGAGGTAACTCCTGCCTGCTTTTAAAACAATCTATTTGACATCTCTTTTGGGGCCAGGAGGCGAGGCAATGTTAAAATTGTGACTTAAACTCTATGAAACTGGAATACAAGTAAGACCAGTTTCTGCTTTTGTCCTTTCACGTTTCAAAACGGTTTATATGGTTTGGCAGAAGAAACCTTGATGGGTTCATCGCTTAGGTTTGAAATATGCCATTTCAGGTTTCCCTGACCACTGCTGGAATTTTCCTAAGGCTTTCTAGGCAAGGCTGTTTCAGTTGTGAATGAGAAATGTTGACGTCGTGTATATTTTCTGTAACAGTAAGATGACTCACTTCTGCAGAATGTGATAAAAATTAAAAAAGCATGAAATAATGAGTTATTGTGAATTAACTCTTTCATGTCTGAGATATCAAATTCCTTGCCAGAAGATTTAAGAAAACACAGAAATAAGTACAACCATGCTCGTGCAATAGTGCTTTATTTTCCATAAGCAAATATTCCAGTATGTGGTATGAGTATGTGGTAACCCTTTTTTCCCCCCTTTGGCAAATGCAAGTTAATACTACAATGTAGCTATTGAGAGTAAATAAAAACATTATTCATCAGTGCAATTAGCATAATATTCCATAATGAATATGCTTCAAATCAAAGTATTTCAGATCATAGTTGATAAATATGAAACACTGAAACTCTGGGCAAAGTTGTTTCCATGCACTTTTTTCCCACGCACTTTATATTTTAGTTGTCATTCTGATTTACACAAAATATATTTCTCCGTTGCATTTGATAAAGATTTAAAAACAAAAACACTAAATTGTTCCCTTTCATGACTAATCCCTTTATTGCTAACTCTTTTGAAATCCTATTACATGCTTGGAGCCCGTAATCGTTGGGATTTCTCCTTCTGTGTCCTGCCTGTTTCCCCACAGTCGGTGAGAAAGGCCGGGAAAGCTGCGCCCATCAAGCAGGCGGCCCAGCAGGGAGGCAGGAGCCGGGGACTTCCAGGGTCTTCCAGGGTCTTCCTCGGCTTCCCACCCCCCGCTCCCCGCCTAGGCCCGAGGCGTCACGTGGCGGCGTGGGGGCCCGCCTCCGGTGACGTCACCGCGCTCGCAGCCGTCGCGCTGAAGAAAGGATGCTCTAGGATGCTGTGCAGGTGGGCGGCGGGGATGCGCCATGCGGCACTGCAGGTAAGGGACGCGCGGCGCCCACCCTGCAGGTCTGCAGCCCCTCGGCGCCCCAGAAAGCGAAAATGGGGGGTCTTTGGCCGCTGCGGCTGCTGCGCGCACCGGGCGGGGATGCCGGGGTGGGGGGTGTTGCAGGCCCACGCGCGAGCTTGGCATGCCTGTCCGGGAAAGTGGGCAGGGGCCAGACGGGAAGACCGGGGCCTTTTGCTCAGGAGAGGAGAAAAATCTGGAGTGATCACCATACACGCATATAAAGACAGAAAGGGGCTTGTCATGGATAACTGTCAACTGTTTGCCAGCTGTCATTGTGCTTCTTAAATAATGACACATTTACTAATTCTCCTTCCGGGGGTTTGTCCTCAGTATTTAGCCTGATTTCTTTTAAAGCAAAAGCTGCTTTGCTCTGAATGGAATGGAAACTTACTGGTTAGCAATTTAAAGAGCTGAATGTGCCATATAAATCGTTTTGCTTTATTTTTGCAAGGTTCCAGCGTTTGAAGGGGATATGTCGGAAATGCATTTTTCCCTCTCCAGGTGTTTTAGGTAGATTGGAAAATAACAGTATCCAATAAAATAAAATGCAACCTCTGAGGATTGACTGTGAGTGTAAGAGAGCGAATCAGCTACGGCTCTGGAGAACAAAATGGTTTTTTGAAGGGGGTGGGGTGAAGACGAACAACCAAACCGAATTCCCAGTGTTCTTTTTAATTTCCGTGTTGAATAGTTAGCCGGCTGGAAGAAGGGGCTTGATGACTCAGCGGCAGATGGAGGGGGTCAGGTGACTTTTCAGTTCGGGCTGGTTGAGGGGGCGTTTAATGGACGCTGTTAATCGGTGGGACCTGTTTACATTCCTTTCTTTGGTTCAAATAGGGCCTGAGGCATGGGTGGGCACCCCTAGGAGGAGAACGTGGTATTCTTTTCTGTAAAATGTGACCCGTCTGGAAGTTGGGGCGTTAGTAAATTGTACTGGAACTCACACTGTGCATAATTTGATTCCCCAACAACTGTTGGAGGACAGTGTCAAAAAGCAGTGCTATTTTAGTTGATAATATAAAGGTTTCCCCTTGTGGTGGGCTTACTGTCTGGCGGCCCAGATAGCTTTGGCTCTAAGAAGGGGATTACAGACTTCCTCTCTCTGCTTTATATTCTAACCAAATTTCAGTTGATTTGCTCTGATTATTTATTTCAGAGTAAGGCAGTGCCATAAAAACAATGGGGAATCCTCTTCCAACTTAGAACTTTGTATGTCTGATTGCCATCCAGAAGACATGGAGGAGAAAAGAGGATGTGAGCCCTGTTTAAAGAAAAATGGGGATGGAGATGGGGTGAAGCCTGCAAAGAAGGATGGGGATGGGGTGAAGTCAGTGAGACTTACCTTTGATTGTGCCAAAATCAGAACAATGTTTCTGTGAAATTAAGACTATGTCATAAAATGAGGCGGCAAGACACTGGCCCGTAGCCTTTCATGTAGTTCAGCCTAGAGATCCAAATGTCAAAGTCATATCTTTGTCCATATCCATGCCTGTATATTTATATACCCATACATTCATGTCTCTATCTCTACAGCTATGTTTTTGCTACTGTAATCCTTTTAAAAAAATTATGCTTATATAAGAAAATGCCAAGCTATTTTCCAAGGTGGGCGTACCATTTTGCATTTCTGCCAACAATGTATGAGAATTTCAGTTGCTCAGGATCCTTGCCAGCACCTTGGTTTCGTTTTGTTTTAATTTTAGTCATGCTCATAAGTATGTAGGGGTTATCTCTTTGTGTGTGTGTGTTTTTCTTTAAACGAATGAGTCTTATTTTATGTAAATTATTCCCCGCCAGCCCCTTGGTTATTGTCAGTTTTTTAAAAAAAATTTAACCATTCTGGGAGGTAGTTATGGTATCTCATTGTGTGTTTTTTTCTTCTTTTTAAATTTTTTTAGTAATTTACTTACTTATTTTAGTGTATTGAGTCTGTTTCTTCCTGCTGGAATAGGAGGTCCAGGAAGGCTGGGATTTGTGTGTGTAAGGTTCCCTCCTCTATCTCGAGCACTGGGCGTGGTACGGGGAATATTTAGTTGCTGTTTAAGAAATCAATGTTTAGTAATTGCACAAGTTCTGAAGGCCTGGGGGAGTCACTAGACTCACCGCAGGGGGTGTGAAACCATCGGAGGTCCATCCGTCCATCTCTGCGGTTTCCTTTCCGCAGGTGGAGGAGTCAGGCGTGGACAGGCTTTGGCAGCACGTTTCAGGCTGAACTCACTCTCAAGGAGCGAGCTGGCAATTCTCATTACCTAGCTGGTAACTGAGCTCCATTTTTCATTAATCATTTTCTAGTCCCTGGATCCGACCATGCTTGAAGCTTCAATTAAAAAGAAATTTTTTTTTCTCCCACCCCCTGCCTTTGGCAACTATCCGTCTGTTCTCTGCGAGCTTCGCCCCCCTTCCATTTACAAGAGGGATCCTACCCTATTTGACTTTCTCTCTCTGATTCACTTCCCTTTAGCATAATGCCCTTGAGGTCCATCCCTGTTGCAAATGGCAAGCTTTCATTCTCTCTTATGGCTGAGTAACATTCTGTTGTCAGTATGCACCACGGCTGCCTTGTCCATTCATCCATCAGCACTTACATGGTTTCCATGCTTGGCTGTTGTAAATAACGCTGCGATGAACATAGTGATGCGAGTATCTTTTTGAGTTGGTGTTTTTGTTTTCTTCAGATACCCAGAAGTGGAATTGCTGAGTCGTCGTATGATAGTTCTGTTTTTAGTTTTTTTTGAGGCGCCTCCGTACTGTTTTCTACAGTGGGGGCACTAATTTCATTCCTACCAACGGTGCACGAGGGTTCCCTTTCCTCCACATCCTTGCCAACATTTGTTATTTCTGGTCCTTCTGTTAACAGCCATTCCAGCAGCGCGCGGGCTTCCTTAGTGTGGTTCGGACTTGCGTCTCCCTGACGAGGAGTGATGTCGAGCATCTCTTCGTGTGCCCGTCGGCCGTCCGTCTGTCTTCTCTGGAACAATGTATATTTAGATCTTCAGCCCATTTTTTGATCATTAAATTTTTTTTTTTTTTTTTTTTTTTTTGTTGATTTTATTCTTTATATTTTGGATATTAGCTTTTTTTAAAAGATTTTATTTATTTATTCGACAGACAGAGATCACAAGTAGGCAGAGAGGCAGGCAGAGAGAGAGAGGAGGAAGCAGGCTCCCTGCTGAGCAGAGAGCCCAATTCGATGTGGGGCTCCCCAGCTCCCCAGGACGCTGGGATCATGCCCTGAGCCCAAGGCAGAGGCTTTAACCCACTGAGCCACGCAGGCGCCCCGGCAACCAAGAGATTTTGATCAGGGTTTCTCCACCTCAGCACTGCTGACCTTTGGGGCTGAATCAGTCTTTTGTGCGGGGGCCGCCCTGTGCACCAGGGGAGGCTGGGCAGCATCCCTGGGGACACTCACTAGATTCCAGGAATGACCCTCCCCCAGCTGTGACAACCCAAAGGTCTCTAGACGCTGCCACCTGTCCCCTTGGTGTGGGGGAGCATTGCCCCTGGTTGAGGACCACTGCTTTAGATCATCTCTAAATGTCCTTCTGGCTTCAGTGTTCTAGAATTCATTTTCCTATGATGTGTTTGGTGCTAAACCCTTGACCAGAGATCAGTTTCCCTTTCATCGCGTCTGTATTTTGGGAAATACAATGTGAAGGCTTTTTTTACACTCCGAGGTTCCAGAAGTCGCTTCTGTTCGAAAGGGAAGGCCTGTTTGTGTGCCCCTTGTTGCTGGGAAGCTAGCTGGGCTGAGAGGGGAGTGCTGGGGAGAGGGGACGCCTGGCCCGTGAGCCCCGTGTGCTGGAGCCCGGTGCGCCTGGACGAGGCTGTCCCCGCTGTCCGCTCACCTGAGACCCCGGCCCAGGCCTCACAGCCCGAGGGGCGGAGGTGGTGTGGGCAGCGGCTTCTTGGGGGGGGGGGGTGGGGGGGGGATAGGGTGGGGGTGGCTGCTGGGTAGTGGTGATGGTGGTGGCCCTGGGGCGCCACCTGCCTGCACAGCCCAGCACCCCCGCCCCCGCCGCGGGGGGGCAGGGCGCTCACCCACCTGCAGCCTCCCGGGGAAGGCGAAGCTGCTGGCTCTGACCCTGGAGGGCAGGGCGGCTTCTTCCGCATCACTTCCCTCTTGGAGAGCAGCCATGGCTTGGGGCCCCGCTGGTTCCTTGGCTTTTGGGGGGCACCAGAGGGATGTCAGCGGGTTCTGCGAGCTGGAGGACTCCCAAGAGACGGGAAGCGGCGATGGCAGTGGCATTGCAAGGTGTGGGCCCCGTGCAGCGCGGGTGGCAGTGGGAGGCTTAGAAGGGCCAGGGGACTTCCGTTCCCCGGGTTTGGGACTGCTCTGTGCCCGCCACCCCATCCCCTGGCCATCAGCCTCCTCTCCCGACTCTTCCAAGCCCTATAAAAATTGGGCTCGGGTGGGCGGTTTGGCCTGCAGCGCGGGAGTGCGACGGTGCGGGAGGCGGGCGTCCTCACGCAGAGCGGTCGCAGCTCATCCTGTCCCCGAGCTGTTCCCCGCTCCCCCGCGTGCCTCACCAGGGCTTGACACCCTTGCTGGGCCTTCTGGCCCCATCGCGGCAACAAGTCCACGTGGTGAAAGAAGATTGAAAAAGGAGGGTGTTCATCCTCAAATGAGACTTAAGAGACTGAGTAAGTGTCCCAGTCCCCGTGACGGCTGTGACGGAGACCAGAGACTGGGGGGCTCATCGACAGCAGCCGTGGATTTGTCATAGCTCTGGAGGCCGACGCGGTTGGCTTCCGGCGAGGGCCCTCGTCTGGGGTGCAGGCGGCCACCTTCTCACCTCCTTACGTCGGGAAAGAGGCTGGGAGCTAGCTCTCGGGGTCTCTTTTCTAGGGCCCTCATCCCATCCCGAGGTCTCCTCCTCCGGGACCTGCTCACCTCCCAGAGGCCCCGTCTCCGAATTCCATCCCTCGCGGGGTTAGGTTGCATCATCTGAATTTTGGGAGGACACATTCGG